CCCCAAAACCCCAAAACCCCAAAACCCCAAAACCCCAAAACCCCAAAAGACGCGAGACAAATTGAAATATAAAAGTACACTATACCAATTTTTATCCAACTAACTAAAGATTTTCTCAATAAAATTCCTAGTCATCGATAAAGTTCCACTGACATTGTCTTATTTTAGCCTAAAGAATTCAATTTGGTAAGCAGGAAGCTCCAAAAAGATCTATTTTGAACAGTCAGGATGGCTCAGAGAAGTTTTTGCTCAGGTTCATTGTTAAATATTTCTCAATAGCTTTCAAACTTTGCGAGAAAAGTTGTAACTACTCAAAAAGTGCACTTTGGCATTCTTAGCACTTAATAAATCTTAAAATTACTCTGGATACCCTCATTTATTCATACTATGAAATGTCTAGACCAATAAAGAGGAGAAAGATTCGGCAGATATTTGCCTTCGAGTATAATGCTTCTTGGCTTTCTAAAGCTCTAAAGCACTGATGCACAGCTCTAATATTATTGCTTTCTTGTCTTGAATGCTTTAAGAAGCTTGTCAAGTGTTTCAAAGGCATGAATAAAGATATTTTTAATTAAACTGTACGAAAATGGTTACTAATTATGTTTAAAATCCTAAATTTCTATTTTATTCTAAGATATGTATAAGAGGTCTTCAAATTTCTTAAGCAAAAGACTCATTCATAGAAGCATATATTAAATAGAATTAGGTTTTAATATGAGAGAGGCTTTCTTAGTCTACTTCTTCAGGTAACTAATACAGAAATTTTAAAATCCATAATCTGCTTTTTCTTAAAGAGACAATAAAACTCTTGAACAAAGCAATCATCAAATTTTTTTATCACTTTAAACTGTAGAAATAAATCATTTCTTAATTAAAGTGTAATATTTTGAATATTATATATTAAAAAGAAATAAAACTTTACCCAAAAATCCAAAAATTTAAACCATTTCAATTTTCCCACAAATTTCGTCTTAGCTATCTCCACATTCCTCTGACACCCCATAACCTAGCCCCCTCCATACCGTACCTAAAAATTCCTAAAATCTCTCCCTACCAATTCCTCACCTCAATCCTCCTTCTCCTCTAACCCTTCCTAAAAATACAGTTTAGAATGTTCAATGTTCTATTTTTTCACTCATCTTTTTCCTCACTCACAGTCACCTCCAACCAAAACCTCCTTACTAAACCTTGCTCTCTCTAAGCTCATTGAAGAAGTTTGTCTCAGAAGAACTCTTCTGAGCTATAAAGTTAATTCCAAATGTGGGCGACTCTGCCTTCAGGGTTTGGGGTGTTTAAACTGTCCTAAATCCTCCATCTCATGGGGAATTAGAAAGCTAAGATATTAATACAGAGACTAGAGGAAGAGAGAATTTTAAGAAAAAGTTAGAGTTAATAGTATTGGTTATGGAGGGATTTAGACTCTTTATAATTCCTCCCTTGCTTTAAAGCTTTAGTTAAGGCTCATCGAAGTTTAGGATATCAATAGAGCTTTCTCTGCTTGAAGCATAAGGCTATAGATCGTGGTGACCACTGTTAAAAATATGTGCAAAAATTGCTTAATCTAGACCATTTTCAAACTCTTTAATAAAACTCGACTAGATAAAAATTTGATTTATTCATGGATGAAAGCTTAAAGTTTCAGAAGAATTTTCTCAGGTTTAAAAGTCTCTAATTTGATAAGAAATGAGATAGATTATGGCCAACCTTGTTAATAATTAGTTATCCTTTGAGAAGAAACTTTTTTAAGAGCTTCTGACAAGGCTGATACGAATTTTGGAAATTTTGGAATAAATTGCCTCCTGAAAGTAGGACGCTTTATTTATTTCCTCTGATGAATTTTCTCATGGATCTTCATATTTCCTCTTTGAGTGAACCTCTTATGGCAAGTCTGACACTGGTAAGGCTTTATCTTCAGATGAGTGCGGGCGTGATTAATAAAATTCCAAGTTTTGTTAAAAGATTTTTGACAGTCTCCGAATTTTCAATGAAAAACTCGTTTCTTGTTCAACCCTTTATCTGAGTCGTAACTCACTGAATGAGCATACTCCTTGATAAAGGAGAGATGAGGAGGTATTTTGGGATACTTCAGGAAATCAAAATGATCTCTGTCTCCTAAAACAGCTCTTTCAATATCACTATCCTCATTTTGGGATTCTGATTTTTCAATTTGAGAATTTTCTCCCAAAACCTTTTTGAAGGTAGGGTTTTTGGTACAGGAGATTCCTAAATCTGAGTAAGTTATTGTTCAAAGTTTAATAACTAAAATTTACTTCCCAATCTAAGGAGGGCAAATATAGTAGATACATAATCCTTCATCAGCGTTCACTATCTCATTCAATTTAATAAGGTTTGAGAAATATTAAGAAGCCTCCTCTAGAAAATTAAGGTTGCCTCTTAATAAGAAAAGAAATCAAGGATTTTAAAACTTACCTTGGCTAAGGTCTTGGGTAACAGCAGAGTTGAGACCATGAGCCACTACGTTAAGGGACTTGGGAAACATAGTAGAAGTAGTTTGAGATGCAAAGGGATTGACCATTTCTTCTTCTCTATTAATTCCAGCTTCTCTTGTTTTGATTAAACCCTGGATACCTACCGAGGGGAATTTGGAAATAAATAAACTCTCTTTATTAGTCATAGTAGGCGGTAAAAGAGCAGGTGCTGATACAAGAATATTTTTAGTGTAAATCACAGGAAGATTGATTCCTTCATTCCCTCAGTATCAATACATGGATGCTTCGCTTCAGAGTTGGGATCCAAAATTTGTCTGACCACTTGGAAGAATCGGTTTATTTTGAAATATGTACATTGTGTAAAATTTTAATTAATAATTTCAATAGGAATTATTTTATATGGGGTTTTGGGGTTTTGGGGTTTTGGGG